CAGGCTCTGCGGTCCAGCTCCCTGGAGACCAGGAGAGTGAGCCCGCTGGGAGGAGGGCTCTGCTGGTCACCCAGACAGGGTCCGGCCTTCAGCTCCCAGCGCTGTCGGTCCAGCTGCTCCTCATCGGAGAGAAAGGGCGCCCTGAAAACTAAGTTAAGGCGCCGGTGCACCTGGGAAAGCCCGTTGGTGATTTGGTTATCCCCGTGCCTGGTAACCGCGCCCCATCGGTTACCTAGTCTCTCAGGCAGCTGCAGTGCGACCACGTCTGGGCTGCCTCCCCCGTTCAGTGAGCTTGTCACAGACACAGCAGCGTTTCAGCTGACCTTTGCACGGTGGCTTTGTGTAGGCTTTGACCTTGGCCTTCAGCCTCATGAACCCTACGGTTCTGTTCATTGGCACTTTCTTATGTATTTACAGTGAATTCCAGATTGTGGTTATGGGAGAGAACCCGTGGAGGCTGAGTGAAAACGAGGGAGATCTCCCACGAGATGGATTGACTTGGGGTACACAACGGGCCCAAACCTGCCAGCAGTCAGGGGCTTGGTGCAGGACCAGGCAGCTATTCACTGTTGTACCCAAGGTCACTGTAGTCAGAGCCAAAGCAATGGCCCCTAACAACAGCAACCACGTGAGAAGCCTGTTTTGCCACGCTGCTGTTGTTAGGGGCCATCGAGCCATCTCCCACTCCTGGTGAGCCTGTGGCTGAATGAGACGCCGCCCGGGCCTGCGCCCGCTCCACAGTCCCCACTACACCTGAGCCTATCGCTGCAGCCACTATCCTTCTCCAGGGAATGAATGGTCCCTTCTGACAACATGACCAAAGTAGGTGAGGCGAAGTCTGGCCCTTCTCGCCTCCAGGGAGCATTTCGGGTGCACTTCCTCCGGGACAGACCTGTTACTTCCTTTAGCTGTCCATGGTGCTTTCAGCGTCCTTCACCAGCGCCACGGCTGAAAGCACCACCTCTCCTCGTGCACTGTCCAGCTCTCACGTGCGTGTGAGATCACTGGAAGCACCAGGGCTCGCGTCAGGCGCACCTCAGTCTTCAACGTGCCCTCTGTGCTCCTCAGCACGTTGGAAAGGGCTCTTGCCACAGATCTGCCCAGTGTGCATCCCATTTCTGACTGTTGCGCCCAGGGGCGTTGGCTGTGGGGCCTTCGTGCTGCCCTACCATATTGACCTTGTCGTATTGACCTGCGGAAAAGAAAAGCGCTTTCAGTGCTTGTTAATTCCACTGTCGTGGGGCTTGTCTTCCAGTCCTGGGTGGTGCAGTGGTGCAGGTGCTCATCTGCTGATGGACAGGTTGGGGGATCCGATCCCTCCAGAGGCGCCTGGGAAGAAAGGCCTGGAGATGGGTGTCTGAAACATCCACCATGAGCACCCTGTGGGGCTCCGGCCCCCGGGGACCGCCGTGACGGGGAGTTGACTCTGCGACATCTCTTCTTCCAGGGCTTGTGTCAGGCAACACAGGGCCAATGGGAGCCTGTTACACAAACTCTCTACATTGTTATTTTCTATTCAGTTAACATTTAAATACACAAAACAGGCTGTTTAGTTTCGTCTGCAGTAAGCAGCCAGTAGCGTTGCTGTGCGTCAGAATCCCCTCAATGGCAGTGGGCTTCGTTTTCTTGGTTCATATGTAGTTTGCTTCTATGTATTTGTTACAACCCAGAGAGAATGCAGTGGGTCCTCCCTTTCCTGACTGCATTCCCAGATTGTGCATGGGGACGTCATCCCTTGTGACTGAGGATGGGAGCCGACTTTACAAAGGTGGACTGTCATGTCAGAAGGGGTCCCGGAGACAGCCCTGGGCCACTCTGTCACTTTCAATCTAACACCAGGTGAAAAGTGGGAAAGCCAATTACGGCAGAGCTGCCTCCTGCTATTTCCAAGCCTGAGAGACGGAAGGCTGGTTGGAAGTTTTAAAATGCTGTAAAGTGTCCTGTCATGAGGCTCGTTTTACCAAGGTTACCTTCATCTTCTCCAAGTCTCGCCTCAAATCAGGGCACTTCCAGACACCTGACACCTGTCATCACCTTCCCAGGTGAGCACACAGGGAGGAAGAGGCCACCTAGCACTGTGCTAACATGTGCGCGTTCTGTGGCCAGGTACGACTGGGCAGATGGCTGCTTGTCAGAAAGAGATCAGGCCCATCCGTGTGCTTGGTGGATGTTCATGAACGTCCCTCTTTACCGTGGACGTGTGCGTCTGGGTGAGAGGGAGATCAGGCATCAGCACGCTCTGATGTTCCCAAAGGTCCCTCTTTACCACGGATGCGCATCTGGGTTAGAGGATTGTTTGTTCAGTGGAGGAAATTTTGAATTTAAGTAAAATCCATAGGAGCCGGTGCGATGGACATAGGAACAGGGACTCTGGGAGATTTTTATGAAATCCAGACCTCCCTGTGGCGCAGCCTTCAAGGGGGCCAGCAAGAGGTTAAAAAAACCTGGACAGTCCAACCCAGGACGTCTCTTTGCCAGTCTTAACAAGCAAAGGTCTCTTGGTTTCTTTGCTGTGTTCTACTGGAGGTCTCTCCAGATGAGCAGTGAAGCTGAAAAGCCGCTCTGACTGACTGTGGAGACATTGAGAATGGAAGTCAAGGTGAGAGCACTCCCCAATCTCCTTGGGCGGGTCCGGGACCGACGCAAATGGTGCAGAATTGTCCGTAAAATCACACCACGCATCATAAACACCATCAACTTCAACGCGCTCTTGGGTGGTCACAGGTGAAGGAACCAATTCTCCAAAAAGCTACCTACATAAAAGTCAGGAGAGCAGTTGGCCCCATTTCATCGGAGTCAGACTCGCCAGGGTGTGGAGCAATTCAGTAGGAGCTCTGTTGCAACAAGGATCTCGGATATTTTCACTTTTCTTTTTTTTAAGGAATGGGTGAAGAAGATGTCTAACTTATTTTTCACAAGTATTTTAAAAAGTTTGGGAGCTTTGCTTTTCTGTTCTAAAAATTCCTAGAAAGCGATTTTCTTGAGTCTCAGCAACTGAATGGAAACACTGGTGGTGGAAAAAGCCACCACTCAGGAGCAAAAAAGGAACTGTGTAAATGTGAACAAAGTGCACACACCAGTGTCTGCCTCAGTCAGAACCGTGTGGAGAAACAGGGCCGGCCGTACACACACGCACACACGTGAAAGAAAGTGAGATTTACCGTATTTTTACACAAATAACATGTGTTCTGTGGGTTGTTTTGTTTTGTTCTGTTTTGCCAGCCATGCGCTCCCCTGACAAGGTATTTTCATGTGTGTGCTATGCTAGTTCTCATAAAAACAAACAAAAAAAGCATGCTGATGAAAATACCACACCAGGGGAGGATGTGGTGGGTGAAAAAAAATACAGCACACATGTTATTTGTGTCAAAAGAGGGTACTTCAAGGAATTGTCTGATATGATGGTTGGTGGCTGGCAAGGCCCAAAGCCACAGGTAAGATGGTGGGAAAAGTGAAGAGGGACTGAGTCCTAATGAAACATCCATTTACTCTCTGAGGCAGAGCACACCCTCAGGAAACATCAGCTTTCGCTCTTAGGTCCTTCACCTGATTGGACGAGGCCCGCCCATGTTAAAGGAGCTGACCCGCTTTACTTACGGCCAGCGGACTCCATCACAGGTGCCCCTTCATCACAGAGTCTGGACTAGTATTTGACCACACACCGTGGGCTCCGTGCCCCAGCCACTCACCACCACAGTGTCTGTGTTCATTCTATCGTGCTGTGTCAAAACAGGGCTGCAAACTTAGTGGCATTAAGTGGCACGCACTGTCTCTCTCCATCTCCATGGGGCAGGAGTCAGGGCATGGTTATCTGGGGTCTCAGCAGCACCACGTGGGGTGCAGTCTCAGCTCAGCTGGGGAAGGACCAGCACCCAGAGCCACAGGGCTCTTCTCAGTGCTC